ACCTCCCAAAAGGTGCTAGGAGCGTCGTGGCCTAGGTTTCCCAGGATAAAACGCGCTACGGTTCGACGTTTGAGCACCCAAACGAACGGACCCGGCGAACTAGAGCAAAGCCTTGAACACAATTAGGCTTAAGAAAGGAGTAGAAGCAGAAGTATTTTGAAGCTTGAAAACAAAATTTCGAGTATAGCTCTTGTGCTTGTTGTAAAAAGCTACATTCGTGCCCGTAGGTTTCGATCTCGTTTCTAGGTGTCAAGATACTTACTCGTAATGGAATTCCTCTGGCGTAAAAACTACAACCGACTATGGAGACTTAGATATCATGCATGAGAAGAATACTCAAAGGCGACTTCAATAGTCTGTCATAGGGCCCAGGTCATGGAATATCTCATTGCAACATACAAAACTTCATTGGACAGAGACGATATGAGCATGAAAAAAATAAAAAAAATTATGACGGACCAAATTTTTTGCCGCAGGATCGGCTACAAAGGAACACTCATTCAACGCCTTAATAAGTGGAGCTAGATACGGTAACGTGCCATCAACGTATCCACTGATATTTTGATCATGGAGAAGGGAGCAAGTTGAGTCTTCCATAACAGATAGTTCGAGGAAGTAAGTTTAATGGAGATAAAGTGATGGACTATTTGTAGAGTATTTATCGGGGTTGTGGTTAAATAGGCAATATTAGAGATGGTGTGAGAAGAGGAGGTGGTGTTGCCGGCCGGAGGTTGGTGGTCGCGACAGTGTTTTTTTTTTTTTTTTTTTTTTTTTTTTTTTTTTTTGGTAGGGTTTATAGCCATGCATCGTTTGGTCTACTGATATCATATGAGAATAATAGTTTTGTGAATGATTTTATTTTGGGAACATTAGTGGCCTAGTTTAATTTTGTATGGAGATATGTGTGCGTTTAATAAATGATTTATCATCTTGAGGTAATAAAGTTGTTCTTGTCTATTCAATAATCTTACAACGAGAATCTCTTGCCAGAGTATAATGAAGTTGGACGTAAGATTATGATAATTGAATAGACATTTTAAGCTAGGTTTATGGGTTTGACCAAGTTTGACCATGACCTTTACTTGGTTTAGAACAAGTATTGTGTGCAATGATATTATTACATAATATTTGTAACTGAAATGTTCATTATAATATATTTCATTGTCAACTAGATAATTATGACATATTGTTAAGTGTCATTCATGACTTACGAGGTATTTAATAATAAGTTATTAAATATTGCTAATCGTTGGTGTGACTATGAATCTAGAAAGTCACACTTTAATAGCATGTATTAATGTAGAGAGTTTTAAAAGAAATCAATAAGGAGTTATCGATATTGAATTAATTTATTAATAGATGATTAACGAATTAATTAAAGTTTGGTACTTTTGGGTCTTTTTAAAATGCTAGCACATTTAGGCCCATACCAACCTATATGAATAGCTTTACCCTATTCTTGTAAGAAGAGATTTTTGACAGAAAGAAAAAAAATACTTTCACGTAAAATCTCTAGAGTTCTCGCGTGCTCGACATGTGGACAGACTAAAGACCGGATAATTGGGTGATTCTAGGATTCGAATTTGTTAAAGCACACTTCAAGGGTAAGATCATTCAACTCACTCTCTAGACATAAAAATCAAGAAAAAAAAAATTTATGCTTCCATTGCGTGTTTAAGTGTTTATTTTTCCTACATCTCTACACTACTAGAAATCTTTGATTTTCGGACAATTTTTTTGACTACCTAAAAAAAAGTCGAAAAAGTGCCATTTTTCAAATTTTCGTCGAAAGATTATGCTGGGGAAATATGTTAGAATTTCCGACCACCTTTACTTAGTGGTCGGAAATACCGACCACAAATTATTACTATTATAATTATCAAGTCTTTAAAATCAAAAAATTTTAAACAATTTTTTTATAAAAAAAAATTAAAAAAAAAACACGGATGCCTAGGTGCCGATTAATCGACGCCTAGCAAATTTTTCAACCATGATATTTTTAGAGATAAAGGAAACACTTTTTCATCTCCATTTAATGTAGATAAATAATTCCATTAATTAATTGAGATGAAGAATTTTTAGAAAAAGATAAGTTTAAAAAATCCGTTTATGAGGGAGGAGAGATAGCTATTACTAGTTTTGAAACTTAACCTTGCAAGATTTTTAACAACAACAATAATAAATAATTGCCACAGACATTTTAAATATATTATAAAAGTATAAAGTTGCATTACATGGAGTCTAAGTCAATGGTAACCGGACTTTTATAGGTAAATCATTTAAAATAGGCTTAATTGCACCATTTTTACAATTGAAAGGTTTTAAGCGTAAAGTTTATAATTTGATAACTTATTACTTGCTCTTTTGTGAATAATTCAAAATCCTAGTTGACCAGTATTCCTTTTACCGGGCGTTTGGCTGGAGGAAAGGAATTAGGAGAAAAAAAATTTATAATTTGGTGAGAAAAGAATAATGTGGGAATAAAGTAGGAATTCAAATTAGTTGTTTGGTAGGAAAAAATAGAATTATTGAAATTGAGAAGGAAAGAAGTGGTATAAAGACTAAAATATCATTGTATAATAATAATAGTAATAATAACTAAGGGCAATAGTGTCATTTCATCTATTTTTCCTTTCTCACATCCATTGAATTGCAATTCATGGGGTTACCCCATAAATTGCAATTCAACAAAAGGAGGGAATTGCAATTTCCCAATCAAACAACGTAATTGAGGTCTCCATTGAATTTTAATTCAATTACAGCTAAATTACAGTGAACCAAACAGACCATTATATTTTAAACTATTTTTAAAATGTCACTCAAAATTAAAGTTATTATTATTATTATTATTATTATTATTATTATTGTTATTATTGTTATTATTGTTACTATTATTACTATTATTATTATTATTATTATTATTATTGTACAAATGATGCACATTAAACCCGTTTATATTAGCTAATTTAATTGACAAAATAATTAGAGCATTTATTTGAAATTAACATATGGACCATGGACCGTCTCCTATCAGAAGGTATGATTTTATATTTCTACACTATAGTTTCAAATTGGAGACTTTCGAAATTATGAAGAAGAATATTCATTATGGACAGTGAAATTAATCAGCTTTGAAGATTTAAACATGTGGTTATGGTTTAATTAGAGATATGCTAATTATGAATTATTTGAGCATTAATTAAGAGCTTAAGCGTGTGGCTACTTCTTCACTGCATGGGAAAGTATGAGTGGCTTTGGAATTTTCAGTTAGCAAAAATATTATGGTTCAAGTAGCTAAGTATAAGGGATTGATTTATTATGAGCGGTAGTGGTTGTTTTACACAAATGGTAAAGCTATTTATGTGGGCCAATCTGTTGAGTTAAGAATTACTATAAAAAGAATGCTGCTCACTATGGAAAGTTACCCGATTTTACACTTGATATTTTGAGAGAGACGAATCCATATTATTATACTAATATTCAGATTATCTTACTGATTATATGAAGAATTTCATCTAAGCTACATCGTCTGCATCTGGGTCAGCTGAAGTATCGATTGAAGATCGTCACGGCATGCACGTTCAGTCCTGAATAGGTGTTAGGAAGGGTTGTAGTGGTAAAGGCTGGAGACCATTTGTACTTATCTCTTGTAATACTCCTTTGGTGAACATCTATAGTGAATTGGGCAGACGTGGGTTGCCCCGCAGACGTAGGAGAAGCGCTCCGAACTGCGTAACAATTCTTTTGTGTTATTGTTTTATTTTATGCTTTCAATTTTCGTTATTTACATTTGATTAACAAATCTAATTAATGAACGCGATTGTTGCATAACATAAAATCAAGTAGAAATATAAGTTAAATCTTGCATTCAAGATTCACGTGCAATTTCAGTTGGTATCAGAGCCAACAGACTTAATTTATTAGTATGTCGATCTGGCTATTCCGTGCATCTTGAACTCAAGCTTTCAGCGGCCTTTATTGTTTTTATTTATTCTGTTAATTTGTTCAATCTCACGGGTTGTTGAGTGTTACATAATGGATCGTGCTAAGATTCTTCCCCAGCTAACTAGCGACAACTACGCCTATTGGAAGGCTCGCATACGTACACACCTAAAAGCTCAAGGTGAAGCGGTGTGGCGGTCTGTGGTGACAGGTTGGACTCATCCCACCAAATCCAGTACTAGCACTGACGGAATGGAAGTAGCTAAACCTGAAATTGAGTGGTCTCAAACCGAGATAACTAACGCTGGAAACAATGATAAGCCCTTAGATACGATTTACTCTCTTATGCATGAAAGTCAGTTTTCAATAGTTGCAGGTATTGCTTCAGCTAAAGGTGCTTGGGAAGCTCTTGAGTCAACTTACGAAGGAACTACGTCGGTGAAACAATCAAAGCTGCTGCTGGTCCAGTCCGACTTCGAAGAGCTTCGGATGAATGAGGGTGAGACTATCATAAACTTTCACACACGCGTACAAGAACTGGCAAATCGTGTGATGGTCCTCGGTGAACCTTTCCCACAAGCAAAACTTCACTACAAGAAAAATCACGAATTGCAACGGACAAAATTCCGTCGCAATTTAGCGACCGAAAACATTCCATTTCAAAATGGCGATGGAAAAGGCGACGGAATTAAATTCTGTCGCTAATCTTGGTGCAAAGATAAAATAAACCCGCGAAATATTGGCGGTAAAACATTCACGATGAAATTTACAACTGAACTAATTTACGTCGTCCATTTCGCGACGGAAAATGCGACTAATTTTTGTTCCGTCGCGAAATGACGACGGAATTTGCGACCGACTAAATTTCGTCATTTAATGAATTAAGTTTTTGTGTATTGATTGAATATTGCGACGGAAAAGGCGACAGATATTTATTCCATTGCAATATTTTTGTTAAATTTTATTTTTTCTTTTGCATTAAACAATGAAGTTTTGAATACTAAATTAAAATTAAAATAAATAAAAATTATAACCCTACGCTAAGTGAACTCAGGCAGACCTTCACTTACTCATTGTGCCTCTCACACCTCTCCCCAAACTCTCTGTCTGTCTCTCAACCAGACATCATCTCTGCCTCACCTCAAACCTATCGACTATCACCCAAAACAATGCACCGTCTCCGGAGTCTCTTTGTCTCTGACTCTTCCTCTCACCCATCTGACCCTCTCAGGCCTCAACCACTCCGTCACTTCGCCTTTTCGTGGGACTGTGACTCCGACTCCGGCTCTCCACCTTCTCGGCGCTCATGGTCTCACCCCTCTCAGGTTCTCACCGTGGACTCTCACTTAACAGTAAGTCTCCTCTAACATCGCACTTTTAGAGTTTTATCTACTCATATCTGCTCATTCTTTCACACAGGAAACCCTAGATCCGGGGAGATATCCTTGGCTTCTTCGGTGACTGCCCCTGGCCATGAAAACCTAACATAAGTGACAGGTACTTTACTGCTAATCTGCTATTTTTGTTTTTTTTTATTTTTATTTTTATGTTTTTGTTTTTTTCCAGGAAATTAAAGGTTCTAAGACTTTTAAAATTGTTATGAGAATGTTTTCTTTGCACTAATTTAACTAAGATTTTTTCCAGAATATGTTATTAGTTTTGTTCTTTCAGAAAATTAAAGTTAACTATAATTTATTTACAGAAAATGTGTTAATGTTTATTTCCAAATTAAAGTTTTAAATTAAAATTTTGTGTAGTTCTAATTTTGTGTTAATTGTGTTATGAATTTATGAATATACATACTGCTAATGGTTAAAAGTCTTTATTCTTGAATTTTATGAATTTGTGATATTAATAAATATATGTGATTTTGTGAATATACTAGCATATTATTAATATTCTTGAAGTTTATGACAAAAATTGTGAACTGTGAATACATGTTGAGAATATACAGTTGTTAATTCTCATTTGGGGGAGAAATGACTCAAATGCGGATGGATGGTTCTTTGGTTTGCTAGATCTGTTACTTTGGTTTTTGTGTTGGTTAAGTACATCATAGATTTTTAAGGAGAACTAAAATGCTAATTTTTTTGGTAACTATGAAGAATGTGAGTATCCAAGAGGTGTTGATGTTTGTGTTTGATAAGTACATACTTTCTGAATTTTTGCTATATGCCTTCTGAGTTTACATGCTTTCATAGTTGTTACTTATATAGGTTTTATGTATGATGCTATGATTAGGAATGCATGTTTGAATTGGTAATTTGATATGCTCAATATTTGTCTTTTTGATAGTTTAATGTTTTTGTTTATTAAATTTGAACCCTAATTTCTTATGAATAGCTAGTGTGTTGAACCCTAATTGTTTATGGAATGCAACAATCCAACAATTATTCGATAGTTATTAGTGTCTTTGAACAGAGGCTTGACTCTTCCTTCAATTTCTATCTAGTACTGCTTGACTCTTTTTTAGAGGCATTAGTGCATGATACGGAGTATCTTTTGTATTTTATGTCGAGTGTGGAAATAGTATATGCTTGGACAAAATTAGGAATAAATCCCTTCAGTTAATTTTTTTATTTTTGTTCCCAACTTTATATCCAACATATGTTTGTAATCTATCTGGTATTTACAAATAAGAAAAAAGTTCTTAACCTCTCTTGCAACTCAGTAACACTTGTACAGAAGTGCTAAAGAACTTCAGGCTTAATGGCTTTCAGTTTTCATGATACAACAGATGGACACAACTTCTCAAGATATGTCAGCTCCAGCTTCTCAAGATATATCACTTCCAGCATCCCAAGAAATGTGGAATGTTTACAACATTTAACTTGCTTGTTTGCATCTGGTTGACTTGGCAGGAAGTGAAAGAGCTGACAAAACTGAAGCAATTGGTGATAGGTTAATGGAGGCTTAACATATCAACAAGTCTCTCTCTGCTTTAGGAGATGTGATATCTGCCCTTGGCAATAAGAGTTCACACGTTCCCTACAGGAATAGTAAGCTTACACAGCTCCTGCAAGATTCTCTTGGTAAGATCTGGTCATCCATGATGATTTAAGGAAACACTTCAAATTTTTTTCTTATTTCCTCTATTTGTGATGTTGAAACTTGGACTTTATGTTATTAGGAAGGCAAGCCAAGATATTAATGTTTGTTCACATTAGTCCTGAGGCGGATGCTATTGGAGAGACACTTATGACTCTTAAATTTGCTGAACGTGTGTCTGTTGTCGAGCTTGGTGTAGCCCGTGCAAACAAAGATATATCTGATGTTAAAGAACTCAAAGAACAGGTTCTACACTTGTCATTTAATCGTTTTAATAAGAATCCATTTGCGTCGTGCCCTACTTTTTAAAACTGAAATTTTACTGTCAATCTGCAAGTACCGGACTGCTTTTTCTTCTAGTTCTTATATCCAGATATTATGAGTCTTTTGGACCTTCATATGCCTTTCCTTTTTATCTTTCCTTAATTAAGATTAAAAAAAAAAAAAGACATGCACAGTCATGTACGAACATAAGTGGAGTTTTAGTAGGATAATTTTACTCTTTTTTTTTCATTGAAAGAAAGTTGCAATATTTGCCTTTCCCTGCACAGATTGCTAGTCTAAAGGCTGCTTTGGCAAAGAAGGAGGGGGCAAATTCCAGATCAAGTAGTCCAGAAAGGAGAATTCCATCCTATGGATCTTCACCTTCACATTCAAGTTGAGGGGATATGCAAATCTATGATCAAGGGCAACCTTACGGAGGATGTTGGTGGCGGAAGAGCGGGTACTTCATCATCACCTCCATCTCAGAACAATTGAATCTAATGGTTGTTTGTGAAGACTATTACAATGTTTAGACTTGGATAGACTATTATTATGTATATATTAAATGTGGATTAGTAATGTATTATTACTTGAACTTAATGTAGAATAATGTTATATTTTATTTTAGAATTAATAGTGTTTTTATATTAATATTTTAAGAACATTCATTACTATTTAAAAAATTATAATTTTATTTCAAAATAATTCAAAAAATGCGACGGAATTGCGATAGAATATAAGATTTGCGACGGAATATTTGCTACAAAAAATGCGACGGAATCGTGATGGAAATAATTTCGTCGTTATTTTGCGACGGAAAAAATAATATGACGATGGAATATTCGGTTCAGATATGGCGACGGAATTAGCGTCGGAAACATTTCCGTTGCGAAAGTTGCGACCGAATTGCGATGGATAAAATTTCGTCAGAAAATGACGACGGAACTATTCCGTCGCGAATTCCGTTGCCAAATTTTGCGACGGAACTATTCCGTCGTCTATTGAAATAAAACAAGGTGAAAGACGATGGAATAAATTCCGTCGCAAAACGCGAATCGCGACGGAAGAATTCCGTCGCGTTTCACGATTTTTCTTTTAGTGCTTGTTAAAAAAATTCTGGGGTCCTTACCACCGAGGTTCAGAATGAAAGTCACGGCTATTCAGGAACAGGACGGCTGGGAGAACAAAATTGTTACTCAATTAATGGGAAATCTTAGAACCTATGAAATGGAAATTTTAACTGATCACACGAAAATGAAAAAACAAAAAAATGTAGTTTTTGCCGCTGAAGAAAATAAAGGAATTAAGTGCTATGAATGTGAAGGCTTTGGACATGTACAAGCAGAGTGTACCACCTACCTTATACGCAAAAAGTCTATGTCAGCCATTACCTGGAGTGACGACGAGCCTGATGTTGAAACGACTGAATCTGATGTCGAAGAATTCTCGGGTAACTTTGTCGCATTTACTGCACGTGTCGCTGGCTGTTCGGAATCTGTTGAAGAAGCTGACTCAGAGGGTGGTGAATATGTCTCCGCGGAAGATTTAGAACTAAATGCCTTGTTTTTTGAAGTTGAGTTTAATAAGTTGTATCCCAAATGGGAAGCCCTACGAAAAGCAAATCGTAACCTAGCTAGTGAGATAGAGATTGTAACAAATGATAGCAAAGTATATCAAACTCAAATAGCTGATAGGAATGTACTGTTTAAAGTGGCAACTGACTAAGAAGAAAAACTACAAAACGAAGTACAGACTAGGAATGTACTGCTTAAGGAGGCGGCCGACCGAGAACAGAAACTACAACAAGAAGTACAGACCTTGAAGCAGGAGCTAAGCACCTACAAACGACAAATCCAAATAATGGACACCACTTCAACACTTGATAAAATCCTTGATTCCGGAAGAAAAACTTCTGCAAAATTTGGTTTGGGTTTCACCGGAAGCAACTCAAAAGATAAAATGGTATTTGTCAAAGCGTCTGGACCTGATCCAGAGGACATCCCTGAATCCAGCACAATGAAATGCACCCATGGTATAGTAAGATCAAATAAGCTACATTATAAATTCTATAACCCCGTATGTTATTATTGCAGGTTACGAGGTCATACCAGACCTGAATGCTACTACTTTTACAAGGATCAAAGAATCGAGAAGTTCAGGCACAAGAACATTCAACCCTTTACAAAACAGATTTAGGTTAAAAAGACTGACTATATTTCATTTGTTTCTTTTCACTCTAAAAGTGCAGGAAGAGAAGAGAAATGGTACTTTGACAGCGGGTGTTCCCGTCACATGACAGGACATGCCAAATTCCTAAGTAACATAAATGCCAGCAAATGTGAAGTTACCTTTGGCGACGGTATTAAAGATCAGGTTACTGGGGTAGGCACACTAAATGTAGCTGGCTTGCCAAAGCTAGACAAAATATTGATTGTCAGTGGCTTTCACGCAAATCTTATCAGCATAAGTCAACTATGCGACCAAAATTGGAATGTGTGTTTCACCAAAAATAGCTGCAGTGTTATGGACAAAACAAATTAATGCGTTATGGAAGGTAAAAGGTCAATTGACAATTGCTATATTCTAACTAACATATCTTCTGTTGCAGGACCAGCATAGATGAAGCTGAGCTATGGCACCAAAAATTGGGGCATCTGAGTTACAGACTACTTGATAAACTAATGAAGCTAGAAGGTGTTCGTGGTTTACCCAAGATGTAAGTCGAATCAACCATTTGTGGTGCCTGCCAAGCTAGGAAACAGACCAAATCATCTCATCCAACTCAACATACCATAAACACGAGTCACTGCCTAAAACTGATCTACATGGATCTCTTTGGTCCAACTCAAACAGAGAGTTTTGGAGGTAAGAAATACATACTGGTATGTATTAATGATTTTTCACGTTTTTCGTGTGTAATCTTTCTCAGGGAAAAATCCGAAGCACTTGAAGCTTTCAAATACTGGGATGAAACTCCAAAAGGAAATAAATGAACCTATTATTCGAATTTGAAGTGATCACGGACGGAAATTACAGAAATTCGACAACAACTTGTTCGATGCCTTTTGCAATCAATCAGGAATTACCCACGAGTATTCAACACCAAAGACACCTCAACAAAACGGAGTCGTTGAATGAAAAAAATAAAAAATCGCACCATTCAAGAAATGGGACGAGTCCTGCTCAACGCCAAAAGGATTACCTCAAAAATTGTGGGCAGAAGCTGTAAACACCGCATGTCACATCCCCAACCAAGTCTATCTTCGACCAGGCACAAGTCAAACACCGTATGAATTATGGAAATGTAAGAAACCGAATATTAAATACTTTCATATTTTTGGCTCACGATGTTTTATTTTGAAGGATAGAAATCCTGTTTCAAAATTTGAACAAAAAAGCGACAAGGGGATCTTTTCCGGTTATTCAACGAACATAAGAACATATCATGTATACAACAAAGTGACCAAGACCATCATGGAGTCTACAAACGTTGTAATTGATGATCAACCGAATGATATTGTTGAAGTTTCACAACCTGAGTTAGTGATAGAACCTGATGCAAACCTTTCTGAAACTCCTAATCCTGAAACTCCTGAACCAGAACCAGAATCAGAATCTGACACTGATCAAGACGACATTGACATTCCAACACGCATCCACAATAGATCACCCATCTTCAAAATTAATTTTGCCATCATCTTTGGTGATAAGGTCTACAGGTTCATTACTCTCTAAATTCCTTTTGTTGATTTCATGAATATTTTAGGGTGTCATTGTCTAATGTGTCCTGTGAAATACCTGCAAATTTTCCTATGTCTAAAGCTGAGTTTTTATGTGTTCCTTTACCTAATTTGGTGCCCTCTTCTTCAATATCCTTGCATTCATCAAATCTTGACACTTTTTCATCTTTGCCAGTGTAATATTCTGCATCTGTGATAAAATCTGTTTCAGGATCAGAGAATTTATCTTTTGAATTAATGGTTCTGTTCCTTCATGCTCTCACATTGCATCTATGTCTTTTTTTGTGCGTGTGTCTCTCTATGACTGATTTGTCCTCTTTTCCATTTTTTTTTTAATTTTCTCGCAATTAGTCATTTTCGTTACCTACTACTCTAAATTGCGAATTGATTCTTTGTGTTTTGTTCTTGACTGTTTTCTATGCGTTTATTAAATGTTATACTTGCATTGTTTTGAGTACTTTTAACGGATTGATTCTTTGTGTTTTGTTCTTGACTGTTTTCTATGCGTTTACTAAATGTTCTACTTGCGTTGTTTGTTGTGTTGCATCTTTGAATTCTCTATGGTTACTTGAATGAAAATTTGATGCAATTTGCTTAATATTTGCACAATATGTGAATGTGTTTTGTTGGTCCGGTCATGACCGTATCTGTGTTTGTTTGTATACTTATTGTGCTAACTGTTATAAATTCTTGCCTGAAGTTGCTTTATATGAATCTGTGCCTGATTTTGCTCTATTTGAATCTCTGGCTGAATATGATTTACCTGAATGTGCTTACTGTCTTATTTATCAATCTGTCTTTTTGAGTGACCCAATTGTGTGCTTCTTGTGTTATTTGCTACGAATTTGTGCTTGAATGTTTTTTTTTACTTGGTATATTTTATCTACTTAATCTGCTCCAACTTGACTTGTGCTTATATGTTATTTGTTTAAAATTGTTATCACGTTCTGCTTTTCTCGTTTTATTTCTAATCTTCTTATGCAGGTTCAATCCAATAGGGCACTCCGTCAAACTCAATCCACTAATATAGATGTTCACCTTTGTCAATTTATTGGCAAAAGGGGGGAGTATATACTAAGGGGGAGTATGGTTGGAATAAGGGGGAGTTTTGGTTATTCTGGAATATGGAAGCTGTTATGTTTAATTTAGTATTTGGCATGAATGAATTAGGATTCTGTTTTGGTATAAGGGTCTCAGTTGCATTATGGATTGGATTATCTACAATAATGCATCTTTGTTTATATTATGGATTTCTAATAATTTTATGATGGACTATACTGGGATTATCTTTGGATGAAACAGTCTACAGTTTTGACTCCTCTTACAGTGAATTGAATGGGACTTATTTGGATGGAGCTACGATTCATTGGCCATGGTAATTCAAATAACTCTAATGCTTAGTATTTTGTCAAACTGATATACTATGGGCTCTTTATAAATAAAAATGTTGTTTATTTCTTTCTATTTGCCTAAAGTATAGATGTCTTAGATTTTGCCAATTAAATTGCCAAAGGGGGAGATTGTAAGTGTACAAATGATACACATTAAACCTGTTTATATTGGCCAATTTAATTGACAAAATAATTAGAGCATTTATTTGAAATTAACATATGGACCATGGACCGTCTCCTATCAGAAGGTATGATTTTATATTTCTACACTATGGTTTCAAATTGGAGACTTTCGAAATTATGAAGAAGAATATTGATTATGGACAGTGAAATTAATCAGCTTTGAAGATTTAAACATGTGGTTATGGATTAATTAGAGATATGCTAATTATGGATTATTTGAGCATTAATTAAGAGCTTAAGCGTGTGGCTACTTCTTCACTGCATGGGAAAGTATGAGTGGCTTTGG